TTCAATCCCAAACAAATAAATACCAGCTTCAAAGAAATAACTTAACACTAAGTCTAGTTTCATGTTAGGATTTTATAAAATTATTTATATTTCTTGCTTCACGTATGTGACTGTAGCTAAGCATCCCAATTTAACACTAATCAAGAACCCAAATTAGCCATCCTATAACAACAGAATTGATGATTTTTAAAAAATAACATTAAAAGTAACAAGTAGTGTGATTGGTGTAAACTGTCTGTCATTTAAAATAACTTCCCCTTTTCTACACTATCACACTTTTTTCATCCACACACTAAACAGTAAGCTTAGCGAACATTAAAATGTCTTTCTTGGGATGTGTACTAAGACATGCCAAATTCAAATAGCTTTGGTTCTGTTTGGGATTTTTTTTGTTGTTGTTTTTTTGAAAAACAGGTTAATCTTTTCCCATTTTCGAGATTCAGAACTGCTGTTTAATAGTGGTGTACACATAAGGAGGACTCCAAATGCTACACATGCCATTGAAGACATTTTTCCGTTTGTAACCTTTGCATGAGGATTGCAACAATCTACCAATTAAATTTAAATATAAAATATCTCCTGATATCAGTTTTTGAGAAATTACTGTGATTACTGGCATCTGCTTCAATTAGTGTTATTTTCTGGTGAGGAAAAATTTAATTTCTCAGTTGATATGGACTGTATTCATTTCTGTAGGTGGCAGAAATCAAAATCCCCAGTGCAACGAGTACCCAGGCATACCAGTCATTCCAGCCAAAAAAGGAAGAGGCAGGCAAATGCTTATGGAAATAAATTAACTGCGATCCAGTATCAGAACTGGGCTTTACAAAGAAGCTGTACTAACCTCACGAGAAAGCTTAATACCAGAGTACTTGACAGTTTTTAGGGCATCTTTAAAGCAATCACAGTACCTGGCTTGCTTACAAGACTTTTAAGGTATTGCAGAGATTTTCACCTCCATACCTCCGGTCACAGATACTGGTGGGCTTTTTGATGGTCTAGTCGGACCCAAGATATAAAAGCTAGGTATAATTAGGCAACCTGTGAGGAGAGGACAGTATCTGAATGGACATAGGCACCTAATGATAAGTGAAGGATGTGACTCTCTTGGGATGCTGACAGTGATTTTCATGCTTTATGAAACTGCAATTAGTTAAGAAATAAAACTCATGCTATGGAAAAAATGGCGAACGATGTGGCTGATAAATGGGCAGGACTACCCTCAACTATGCTTTCTCCAGTTTCATGAAAAATAGTCACTTAATCAGGCAAAAAAAAAATGGCTAGAATCCCACTGTGTGGAAATATTGTCTAATATCACACGTTGGGCAACAACCTGCTGTTTGTAACACTAGTAAGATTTAGAGGAAGATTAGAAAGACAGAAACCTCATTCCTTCAGTGTTGCATTTTCCCTATCTTCAACCTTTCCATTTTACTCAGTCTTAGTCACTGATTGTTCCAGGCAAACCCTTAAATGGAGAATAATATTTTCAAAGCCACAATGAGAAAGATTAGAGGGGATGAGCGGTCTGCAAATATGATGAATAAGAGAACCCAAACCCAACCACCTCTGTAGCAGGCTGCCCAGACTAGTACTAACTGGAGCGTCAGGCACAACCTGCTTAGTGGAAAGACACCAGTTACTGGTTCTGGTTGGGGGCCCAGTCCAGCAGATGCTGCCCGCCAGCCTGGTGCTGGCTAGCAGTGATAACAAACACCCACTTTGCTATCGCAGGTATTCCCAAGAAGACTTTGCTATCATTGATGCATACCTGCCCTGTGCTCCTCAGTGTTCTCCAGACTGGGAATTTGTATAGATAACTGCTGATTTCCCAGCGATTTTAACCCTCTAGGTTGTTTGGGTGACTGCAGGGAAGTGAACAGTGCTCAAGTAAGTCCACTAGGCTGCACACTTGTCTGCAGCACAGGTCTCCCGAGATCAAGAGCAGAGCAAGCAAGCCTGGCTTGGTGAGCAGCCGGTACCAGGCACTGGTCACAGCCTCTGAGCCACCTGTCCACAGGGGTAACTTTGACACCCACTGACTTCAGGGGCTATAAAGAGCTACTTTAAAGCTAAGTACTACTACTACTAATTGGATAGCAGTGTAAATCAGCGTTTTCAATCCATCCACAATGCAAGCCACAACGCAGGACCACATTTTGCAGGATTTAGATTATTAAATGTGAACCATCTGAAATAATATGCAATTAAAATAAACTACAATACAAAAAATGATAGGAGAACTGTATCAAGAACATCAAAATGCAGTGGCAAGTATCTGCCCAGCCAGCAGCGTGTGGACTGTTAACCTGACCCTGGGGAAGCCGGCAGTGGCGGGAAGGTGCCTTGCATCTACATCAGTAGGGTAAAAACTTCCAGCCTGGGCTGATCATCTTTGATTAAGAAATATCCTCACCATCAAACTTTCGGTGAAGGAGAACTTTTGTGTATTCTCTTCCATTCCTTTGCAAGGATTCATAAGCAAACAGCCCTTGGAAAAATACACCCAAAAGGAGTTTTGGCTGAAGTCCACGGACCTTAATTCGTTTGCCTCGCTGGGCAATCGGGCTTATCAAAACACAGCATTGATGAACTCTTATAAAAGCAGGAAGGGAGGGAGAAGCTTTCGGGCCACAGCCTGCTCCTCTTCTCCAGCACGGTTTTGGGGAGACGCCGCCCGAGCCAGGTTTATTTGTTCTGGTGACGGGGCTAAGCCTCTCCCATGTGAAATTTCACTTTTCAATGAAAACTTACTCCGGGAGGAGCACTGCCAGTATATTTCTCGTGTGACTCATACGCAGATAACCCAAAAGTCAATAGTCAAGAGTTTATTTGATGGAGGTTTTCTCCTAATTAAGAGGTCATTAAGGGGATTCGACTGTTACTCAGCGCTGAGACGAAGGTCCCCAGCAGCTGCTCCAGCCCGGGAGATGTGCCGGCCAGCACATTTTCCAGAAACATGTTTCCTCTCTCGCTAGCGGCCCCTTCCCCCTCCCCGCCACCCCGTTTCTAGTCTCTCCAGCGCTGATGAGCTAATAGCATTTTTCCTTTGCATACTTTGGCGCTGCCCCACGGCATACTCTGGCAGCCTACGTGTGTCTGAGCGCGCCCGCCC